TTCGTTCCGCTTGCCGCGCGAGATCGGGGGGGGGGGCGGCAGGGGCTGCCCACTTTCGCAGCTCAGTGAGCTCGGCTGGGTTGGCGAGGCAGGGGGGGGGGGGGGCATTGCTGCAGGCGGCGAGGCCACTTGAAGGAAAGGACATGTTTGTCGGGAGCTTGATTTTCGCTGCGTCGTTCGATCGAGAAGGTCGGGGTTGTGCGAGACATTGACATCGCGCCGTGCTATCCTGAGGCGTCGGTCGGAGTTGGTTCGCATTGCGTACGCGGCCCAGGCAGGCCCGGGGAGGCGCCCCGCGCGGCGCCCGACGCCAGCGCCGCCAGATTGGGGACCCGTCGAGGATGCAGCATTGCAGTGGGGCGAGGATGCCAGCGGGCGTGGGCGGGAGGTATCGGATGGAGCGCGCCAGATGTTTCTGTTCGATCTCGCCGAGACCGAATCGATCGCAGCTCGTGGTCTCCAGGGCCCAGATGAGTACAGGTGCCGAGGCCGAGGGCGGGGCTGGAAGTTGCGCAGGGCCCATGAGTTTCAGACCCCTGGCGGCCCGCGCGCCCCCCCGTGCGCCAAGGCTCGGGGGGGGAGGAAGGTCTCGATCGGGTTCCAGGAGCGCGCGTTCATTGTCAGGCAGCCTAGCGGAAAATCTGATGCCCAAGATTTTGGGCCGCGGGCCACCAGATGAGGGGGTCGACCTTCGGAGAAGGTGGCGCCCCACTTTCGAAGGCATTCTATTCTGGCTCTCACAGACAAGCAGCTTGATAAGTGCGGGAGTGAGGCAGCCTACTTCGCCTACGCTGGATCAGGCCTTCGCTATGGCTAGATGCTCGGCTTGGAAGAGGTGGGTTGTGGACGCACGTGAAAAAGGGGGTTGGGGCAGCTCACCGCTTCGCGAAATCGCCCGCGGGATGGAAACTTTCGGCCCCAGGGCCCGGCGGAGCCCCTATGGTGCTCGGCGAGCAAGTTGAGGCGCGGCAGCACGAGTGGAGCAATATCTTGGACGTCGCGGCGCACGCTGAGGACTCTGCAGTCGGCGACGGCCAGATCGACCCGATGGATTGTCTGTCCCTCATGCTGGAGAGCTGGAGAGAGTGACAGAGAGAGAGAGAGAGAGAGAGAGAGAGAGAGAGAGAGCGAGAAAGAGGGAAAGAGAGAGAGAGAGAGAGAGAGGAGAAACAAATAAAAAAGCATCGACCCGGGCGAGGCAGCCAGCGCCCCCCCCCTCCGAGTGCCGCACCATCCGCAGGGTCGCCAGGACTTTCAGGGGGAGGACGGCAGCGGGGGCGGACAGGTCGAGCCCGGGAGAATTAGTGTTATTGTCAGATCGGCGTCTTACCGCGCTGGGTTTTAGCATCGGCACTGATGCTGGACGCTGCTGGGGCATCGTTGGCCATGGTTGTCGCGCCCACGAACCCGCTGGCGGATTTAGGTCCATGGGCCCCCTCTCCATTTTCGCGCGTGTTCGGGGGCGTTGTGCCAGATCTGCTGCTCGCGCATGGGAGTTTCAGCACAGGGGCATCTCCTTTGCGGTAGCACTGGCATTTTTTTTGCGAACGGGGTGCCTAGGGGCAGGCTTTTACTGCAGTGCGCGCGGGGTTCACGAATTCTTGTGCGGGCGAAGGGCTGTTGGATTTGTCTGAGGCATACGAGAGAGTGCTGCGTGGACATGTGATCGACGCTGCGAAGGCTAGCCAGTCCCCGCTCGACATCCTACTTCTGCTCCTTTGCGCATCGGGGCCCTAGGCCCCCGGTGGTCGGGCAGATCGCATCGGTGCCCGCCATGGCGTCTCAGGCGATAGTTGCAGGTTGTGCGTTTGCCACCACGCTCCTGAAGATGCCGTTGGTTAGTGCGCTGGGCAGCGCGGTGAGCAGATTCCCTCTCGCGCGCGTGAGCAATGTAGTTGCTGACGTCACGATTGGCGCGCATGGCAGTGCGAAGTTCGTTGGGTAGAAGCTGCCGGTCGTGACTGGGCGCGCCTGCGCGAAGCTAGAGGAGCTCGATCCCGCCGTTACTCGGGCGAGGGGAGCATCGAATCCACTCGCAAGGCCGTCGCCCACGAGGCTTCCAGGGCCTCTGCCCGATGGGGGTTCGCCGGGGCCTCGGTGGCCAGAAATCTCGGGGTGGATTTCACCGCGGGGAAGTCCCAGAAGAACCCAGTGCCGCAGGCCCGAGTGGCCGAACCCAGAAGGAGAGCTCACAGTTTCAGGGGGTCGCGCTCGTCATTCATGAAGTTGACTAGGATCGTCCGTGCAGGAGCTAGCCCAGCAGGGCCCTACGAGGCCTCGGTCATGGGAGCGTCGGACCGCATCCTCAAGCAGCTGCGTTCGATGGCAGGCGATGCGGTCTTCGGGAGGGGCCAGGGGCAGGAGTCGCACGATCGGCTTTCACGTTGTCCCCGACGCCGCTGGCCGACCCGATGCACGCTGCCAACTCTGCTCATCATGCCTCGGGCTTACGCTGTCCATCTTCGTTGGGCCCCCGCTGAAGAGATGGCGTGCGCGTTTGGAGGGTTATGAGGCGAGGGAAATCCGAGCTGGCAGAAAGCGAACGGCCCCGCAGGGGCGATGCTGGCTTTTTGGAGACGTCTGGGTTGGAAACCGATCCGCTGGGATTGCTAGGCGACTGGGACGGGGCCCCATCTGGACTTCAATGAGTGCGGAAACCGAACAGTAAAATCGATCATCGACTGGGGCACGAAGGACATGCTACTTCGTGAGCTGAATGTCAGCCATGAGGCTGTAGGTTGCGATGGCCCGCTCTGCCCGTGTCTGGGCCCCTTTATAAGGGGTGTTCCGGAATTTCCGCGCCTCGGGGGCCCTCTCCGCTTTGCCGTGGCGTCGGGAGGTCTGGCCGCCCAGGTTGATTTTTTGCCTGGCCGCCGAGTGTCAGTCGCGCGGGCGCCCGTGGGGGGCCAAACAGCACCGCTGCTTTGACTGCCCTGCCTTTCATGGGCAACGCCAGACCCTGGGGCTCCGGCGTCTTGCTACGGCGGGGTCTGCTGCCTCCTTCCCCAAATGGCGTCAGTTTTATTCTCGATTTTTGTTTGGCTCGCACATCGAAGTTCCCCCCGGCCCGCTGGCCCATCAGGCTTGAAATTGGCACGCGTCTGGCCATCTCGAAGGTGCGATCTGTCTCGACGGCTCGGTCCTCGACCCCTCGTTGCCGTGGTGCTCTCGAGCTGGGTGGTCCGCTGTGTCGATGGGCAGGAATGGCCAGGCCCTGGGCAGCGTGCACTGACCCCCCCACCCTGTTCAATTCAATATAGGCGAGGGAGCTGTGGGCCTTGTGCTCGGCGGTTTTGCTGGCCGAGGCAGGTCCGCTTGAGAGTTGTACAGATTGTAGGGTGCTGCTTGACGCGTGTAGCGTTGGCCCAGACCAGGATGTTTCGGGCGTTGCGCGTGGCGACGATGCCTGGGGGAAGGTCTTGGCCAGAACCCGTGACATTGGTTGGGGCCACATCCGCCTGTGTAAGATAAAAGGCCCACCTCTCGTGGAGTCAGGCTCTCTGGCGCGAGTTTCGGCCGACCGCCTAGCGAAGGAGGGTGCACTCCTCCAAGACCAGGCTGATGGCGCATGCAGCTGGCATAGGACGGCCAGCCCTGAGATTAAGTAGGCAGGGGAGTGTCTCGGGCCGATGTTGGGTGAGATCTTCCGTCAGGGCCTCGGGGATGTCGTGAGACGCAGAGCCCCCGAGTCCTCGAGGCCCGGCGGACACGCCCCGCAGCTCCAATTAGTTGCCACCCCCAACGGACACACGATCTGTAGAGAGGGTAAGAGTTTCGTTTGCTCTGAATGCGGGGGAAGAGCGAGTTCCTGAGGAGCGCTCGCCGCCTTCCCCTCCCCTGGCATTCCCGTCATCGCCGCGATTGCGCATCATTCCCATGTTCTGTGCATGGGCTCGGGGCCGTCTGGCACTGCGGTGTGGTGTCGGGGATGCGCGGCGTTTGGGTTTTGTGCGAAGTCGTTTCCTGAAACAAGTGTGTCCCGAGCACCCGCGTAATTCGGCTGCTCGCTGTGCTGCTCGCTGGCAAGGACCCAAGCTCCCGTGCGGTGTTCGGCCGCAGCATCCAGGTGCGGCAGGGGGGCAACGCTTCTCGTAAGGTTTGCTAGGCCTCTTTAGACTGCGCGGGGATCCTATGTTGCGTTCAACTGGTTCAGCAGGAGGAGAAGGAAGAGAAGGAGGAGGAGGCAGATGATGAGGAGGCTGAGAAGGAGGAGGAGGAGGAGGAAGAGGAGGAGGAGGAGGAGAAGGATGCGGAAGAGGAGGAGGAGGAGGAGCAGGAGGACGATGAGGCGGTGGAGGAGGAGGAGGAGGAGGAGGCGGAGGAGGAGAAGGAGGAGGAGGAGGAGGAGGAAGAGGAGGAGGAGGGGGGGAGGGGGAGGGGAGGAAGGGGAAGGAGGAGGAGGAGGAGGAGGAGGAGGAGGAGGAGGAGGAGGAGGAGGAGGAAGCCCCCTTTACATTCCTTTTCGGCGCGAGGATGCCTGTGCCCCCAGATCCGTCGCCCCTGGAGCGGCCGCCCTGGCAGCGGCCCGCGCCCCCCCCCCTCGGGAGCCTTGAGAAGGGGGTCAATGCAGACGGGGTTCAGCCAGGGTTAAGTCGGGCGTGTCCCCCTACAGGGGGATTTTCTACGACAAATAAAAAATACTCACACATATCCCAAAAAGGTTTAAAAACATGCTCCAAAAATAGTCCCCAGACTATGTTTGTATTATTGTTTGACTATTTTTGAGTATTTCTTATTTTTCGTCGAAAATCCCCCTGTAGGGGGACACGCCCGACAGAAAGCCAGGGCGCCGGACCTTGCAGGATCATGCAGGGCTGGGGGCGCATTGACCCGGGTTTGGGTGCAGGATCTTGCAGGATCCTGCAGGGTGTTGCGTGTCCAGGGTCACATTGACCTGGGCTTGGGGGCAGGATCCTGCAATTTCTTGCCATGCCCGACTGACACGGTCCTGGATTGACCCGGGTCAGAAGATCCCCGACCCCCTGTGGGGCGCCCCGCAGGTCGCCAAGCTGGTGCTCCTCGGGCCCACGCTGCTGCCAATCAGGCCCGCCCGGCCCGTGCGGGAGGGAAAACACAGACACAAGCCACCGTCGATTCCAAGGATCATCGTCGAAGAAGAACAGACGGCATAAACATAAATGTTACGCGCTCGGCGCGGACCGCCAAGTTCTTATACTTTTATGCCAGTGTTTGTTCCCCTATGAACACAAACACAAGTCACCGTCGATTACAAGGAACATAGGGAGTATCTTGGAAGAGGAGGGGGACACGAATGTCCAGAAACTGGGGAATCCTGGGATGTGTGTCTGTTCAATTGTGTGTCCCTGAGCCTCTTTCACATACGTCGCCCCCAAACGTCGTCCCCGAACGTCGTCCCAAGACGTCACCCCCGAACGGGCAGATTTCGATTATTCCGACCCGATTCGTTTCGAGTTCGACCGATTCCGATTCCGATTCGTTTTGATTTCGGATTGTCCGATCTGGGTGTCGGTTTCTCCATGGAGGCTTTATTGGCCTGCCGACGTCCACCGATTCGACGTCTCCCGACTGATGGGGCTACCGATTTCCGCTGATCCGATGTAGTCTGATCGCCGATCCGACAAGGGCTCCCACGAGGGCGCGAAGTTACTCGCGCTTCGCGGGCCTCATTCCACCCCCTCCTCCTCGTCCTCCTCTTCTCCCTTTGGGGAGGCGGCGCGAGAGCGCGAAGTTATTCGCGCTTCGCGGAGCGCGAAGCGCGAAGTTGGGATCCCTAGACCAAGGGGGCGCGGATGAGCGACGGGTCCCGTTTCCATTGGAAATCGCGGATTTCCGCCGCCGAGCGAGGCGGCAGCGGCCGCATTTTGGGGAGGGCACCTCCCCCGATCTATGGATTAGGTGACTGCGCGCCCAACCCACGGATCGCTCATCCATGTTCGCGAGCCCCCGAATGGGAGGTTCGAGGTGCTCGGGCATGCTGTCTGGTTCTCCGCGGCCTGCCAGCCTCGGGAAGTCTTCCAGCGGCTGCTCCTCGAGTCCTGGGCGTTCCCGAGGTGCCTGGATCTTCCCGAGCGGCCGCCGCAGAGCCGCAGTCATGGCCCGAGAGCCAGGGGGCAACGTGAGGATTGAGTCGGGCACGTCCCTTTACAGGAGGAAGATCGAAAAATATACACAACATAGTCTGGGGACGACTTTTCGACTGTTCGTGGACTGTTTCTGAATTTGTTTTGGCTATGCTTGATTGTTTCGTCCAGAATCCGCCTCTACAGGGGACATGCCCGACCTAACGTCAGGGGGGATCGGTCTGGCGGGGACGCATGGACCCCCAATCGCCCATCGGATTTGCCCAGGACCTGTTGCACTTGCGGTCGCCCGAGCCTCGCAGTGGCTGGAAGCGCCCCTTGATGGTTTGCTTGGTGTCCCCCGCGGTAGCACGGTGGCCAAGCACCAATGTTGGGAGGCCCTCGCGGATTTTTTGGATCGGCGCTGACCGCTCCTCGCGCCAGAAACAGGGTCCAACGCCGATCTGAAAAATTCGAGCGGTGCTCGAAACAAATGACACTACAGTGGGGGCGCGCATCAAGGAACCATCTGCTTTTCGTCAGGGTATCCTGGCTTTCTTCGCTCCTCGCACTGCGCGGTGATTTCCCGCAGCCGTTGAAGGAGCTGCTGCGTTCAGGGTGCTCCAGGTTTCCCCTCAGGTGCACCTCGCGCACGGATTCTCAGGGTTGGGTTTCGTGCGAGGGCTTCTTGCGGCCGCGCCCGCACTGAAGTGGGTCTCTCTGTTCTCGGGCATCCGGCGCTTCGAAAGAACGAGGCGTCCGGCGCTCGATGAGGAGGAGAGAGGAGAGGAAGGCGAGGGGGTCGAATCCTGGAGGCTAGGGGTAGGGTTCGCGCGTGGACCCCTAGCTCGGCCAGGCTCGGCGGGGTGGTCAGCTGACGGCCCCCGATCTTGGGGGGGGGGGGGGTAGTTGGGACTCACGCGCGGCGCGCACGGGAGGACCCGTGGGCCTTTTTTGTGGTACCCGCGCTTCCGGCAGCTCCTCTTGTCCGTGGCTCCGCCTCGTGTTCTGTTCTGTGGTGGGCCCGGTGCGGTTGCCTGAAGTGCAGGCATCCCACTGCAGGCCGGCGGGCCCGATGCGACCGCTGGAGAGCAAGCATCTTGTTGCGACACCGCCCGGCGGCGGCCATGAACGCGCGCGATAGTGTGTGTGTGTTGTTTGAGGATGTTTGTTTTTTGTCCGTGGCTCACCAGGGCCGGTTTTTCATCTTGAGTCGTTGGCGATCCGACTTGCCAGGTCCGTGAAGTGGCCTCTCAGAGGCCGACAGCCATCCAAAAGCATTGCCATCCTTGTGATGTTGCGATGGCCCGGACCTGAGGGCACATGCGGATCTGGCAGTTGAGAGGCTGGGACGCCGTCGAAGACCTGCCCCCGCCGTTCGCGCTCGAGGGAGCCCCGAGGGTCCTCGACGTTCTGTCCTGCACGCCTTGCGGTCTCTTCTGAGGACGAAGTACAACGCCACGAACAGCAGTATTCTCTCTTCCTCCAAGGCCAGACGGTTGCGCCGCTGTTTGGCGTTGAGCGGAACACCGTTCTCGATGCTCCGACGCACGGGTGTGAGAGTTGTGCGGAATGTGCCGTCGGCGAATCGTTGGGCAGCTTTTTCACTGCGTTTGTTCTGGATCGGAGCGGGGCGCAAGAGCCGCCTGACTTCGCGTCGTGAAACACGTTTCGGCAGAAGGTCGTCGTTTTTTTATTCATTGTCTTGTCGATCGGCGCGGGCCCTCGCCCCCCACCCCTCCCCCCTCCATGGAGTAGATCTTGGCTGTTTTCGGGAGGGGTCGGAACAGCCTTTGGGGAGCTACGCTGCGACAGCAAAACACGACGTCTGCTGTCTCGGCCCCCTCTTCCGTGCACCCCTGGCAATTTCTTCAGCGCCACCCCTGGTGCGCTCCGCGCGCAGGGTAAGGGAAGGGGGTCCAGCGTCGGCCCAAGCAGTGCGCGCAGAGTTGCCAGAGTTCATATTCATGTCAGTCGTTGGCGTTCTACCGCTGGCTCATACCCATGCCTGCCCGCAGGATAATCCTCCTGGTGTTGCTCGTGTTGCTCGGGGGCGTCGTGGCGATGGTGGCTACGTGCGGCTTCCCGGTGCAGAGAGAGGAATGGCGGGGTTGGGTAAGCCCGCCCGAGAGGAGGGGGAGGCGGGTCGAGGGTAAAGTCTTTAGTTTTTACCATCATCCTGTGGTGGGTTGTTTTTCCTTGAAAAGAACACTGTGGTATCCACTCCTTCTCCTTCTCCCTGCCTGATCCTGCTCCGACGGGATGCCAGGGCAAGGACCTCGGCGCGTCAGCAGCCAGGCGAGCAGGGAAAGACCTTCCAGGTGGGAGCCCGCCTCCCTGCCTGCTCCTGCTCTGCTCCCTGGGGGACTGCGAACAGCGCAGCCGTCGCCACTTTCGTAGGCCTCCTGGGAGGTGCAGCCGGGTCGAGGGCCACGCGCATCCAGCCGAGACCTCGCTGCCCCTTGCGCGGTTGCGACTTGCGCGATCGTCGCCATTTTTCTGGACTCCTTGGAGGCACGGCGGAGTGGGGGAGTACGTACACCCAGCCGGAACTTCGTTGCTTCCTCGGGGCCTGCGCCCTGCGCAACCGTCATCATTTTCGTGGGCCTGGCCGAGACCTCGCAGTTTCCGCGGGTCTTGCGAGAGCGCAGCCGCTATCATTTTCGTTGGGATTCTTGGGGGGTCCGGGGTCGAGTGCCGCGCGCACCCATTCGACACTTCGCTGCCCCCTGGGAGGCTACGAACTGCACTGCCGTCGCCACTTTCGTGGGCTCCTGGGAGGTCCAGCCGGGTCGGGGGCCACGCGCATCCAGCCGAGACATCGCTGCTCTCTGGGCGGCTACAAACTGCGCGACAGTCGCCACTTTCGTGGGTTCACTCCTGGAAGGCACGACGGAGCAAAGGAGTACGCGCACCCAGGCGAGACCTCGCAACTCCCTATGTGATTGCAAACTGCGCGATTGTCGCTATTGTCGTTGGCTCCTCAGGGGCGCAGCAGAGTAAGGGAATACGCGCATCCAACCGAGATCTCGCAGCTCCCGGGGAGGCTGTGAACTGCAAAACCGTCGCCACTTTCGCGGGCTCTTGGGATGCACGGCGGACCAGGGGCGTACGTATGCACACCCAGCCGAGAACAGCGCAACTGTCGCCACGTTCGTGGGCTCCGGGGAGGCACGGTGGAGTAGGGAAGTACGCGCACCGAGCCGAGACATCGTTGCTCCCTGGGCGGCTGCGATTTGCGCAATTGTCGCCACTTTTGCTGGCTCCTTGGAGGTCCAGCGGGGTTGGGTGCCACGCGCACCCAGCCGAGACCTCGCAGCCCCGCGGTGGCCGCGCAACTGTCGCCATTTTCCGTGGGCCCATGGGAAGTCCAGCGGAATCGGGGGCCACGCGGACCCATTTGGGACTTCGCTGCTCCGTGGGTAGTTTTGAGCTGCGCAACTGTTGCCGCTTCGGTGGGCTCTTGGGAGGTCCAGCTGAGTCGGGGGCCAACGCGCCCCCGTTTGAGACTTCGCTGCTCCCTGGGTGGTTGCGAACTGCGCAACCGTCGCAGATGTTTTTCGCGGGCTCCTGGGAGATCCAGCGGCGCACCCAGCCGAGACCGCAGCTCCGTGGGTGGCTTTGAAATGTGCAATTGTCGCCGCTTTCGTGGCGCCCTGGGAGGTCCAGTGGAGCTGGGGGGCCACGCGAACCTGCTTGGGACCTCGCTGCGGTGCTACTTGGGTGTCTGCGAGCTGCGCGCCCGTCATCACTTTCGTCTGCCCTTGGGAGGTCCTGCCGAGTCGGGGGCCACGCGCATCCAGCCGAGACGTCGCTGCTCCCTAAGATACAGCGAATGGAGCAACCCTCGTCACGTTCGTGGGCTCTTTGGAGGTCCAGCGGGGCCGGGGGCCACGCGAATCCAGCCGAGACCTCGGAGCCCCGTGGGACGCCACGAACTGCGGTACCGTCGCCATTGTCGTGGGTTCCTGGGAGGCACGGCGGAGATGAGGGCAGTGCTGATCGTGCATATTCGGCGTTGTCTTGTTTTGTATAAAGTGCTTTTACAAAACATCGCCTCGCGTTGAACAAAGGGGTTTGGGTACGTCTGGGGCAGCCATGTTCGATGTTGTTCGGTTTTGCCAGTGTTTGGGCCTCTGGAGGCTTCCAGAGGCTTCAGAGAACTTCCAGCGATATCTGGGGACACCGGAAAACCCAGGGGAGGATGAGGAAGAGGAGGATGAGCAGCAGCAGCAGGAGCATCATCAACAAGTCTAGCTTGGTTCTCCCTACATCCTACGAGCCGTTGGATGCACGGGAGTCGGGTCCCCTTGGGTCACGCTCCGCGGAGGACATGGGCGGGGGGGGCCGCATGTGAATACCCTCGCCAGGGGCCGCATGCGGAGCTCCCTAATACAGCCACGATGCGCACGATACTGGTGAGGCGTGTGTCCGATATTGGCCGGGGGCGGCAGGTATACATCTATTTATATATATACACATACATATCTATACATAAATATATGTATCGTTCTCTAGCTGTCGTCGCCGCCGTCCTCCTTATCTTCATATTTAACTACGTCCCCCTTTTCCATTCTCCAGTTGGTATCATCCGGTATTCGACGTGATTGTTTTTCGCAGCGTGGCTCCCAAGGATGTCCAGTCCCTTTCCTGGGGACCGGCTTTTCATCCTGAACCGTTTCTTGATGGTCATGGGGCCACGTAAGAGCCTTCCGAGTCCGAATTGGCAAACGCAATGCATCAGGTGTCGTTTGAACGACGCGAGGAGGTCGGACAGGGACCCCAGAAAGACCCCGACGTCATGTTTCTATGCTGTTCACTCCGTGGGCCCCCGAGCCCCAGACTCTAATGTCACCCCCAGGGAGGCGAAAATGACAGAGCGTCGCGCGTCGTGACCAGGGCCCCGGATGCGCCCGTGTCCAGGTGCGCGATGCGCGAAGTTCAATGAACCAGAGGCCCCTCTCGGGGGCAGCTTTCATCGCGGACTGTTGTTCGACTGTCCCGGGTCCACGAGCTGCTTCTTTTTATTGCCGGCTAGGCCCAAGAGTGACCTCTCGCCGGAGTGACCTCTGGTGCGGGCCCAGTGGGTTCCCCCGATCGACGAGCGCGATGCGATGGTAGCGTCTTGCGCGCCCGCGTTTGGTCCCCCCCGCTGCTCCCCAGAAGCCGCGCACCAAAGGTCACTCTTACCCAGGGTCACTCCTGCGTGTAGCCGATGTTGGTGAATCACGGAAGGTCCCGCTCATCTTGGATGGAATGCATATCTGCCAAAAGCGCCACATGGCGCCGAATAGCGGTCAATAGCGCCCATTAGCGTCGACATAGCGCCGAAAGGCGTTCGAAGCGCCCATTGGCGCCATGTCTGAGAGATGCATTATGTCCGCTTCGACCGCTCTTGGACGTGCCATTTTTGCGCGCTATGGGGGCGACCGAAAGCTTCTGTGAGTTCCTGTCTGACCTCTTCTGGAGGCCGCGGAGGTCAGGCAAGTTTCAGGAGGAGAAAAAACTCACAGGCACAATTAATATGTGATTCCCCCGAAGACGTGGGAAAATATATAGGCAGTGGGGGGGAAGACGGAAACCCCGCAAGTATGGGAAAAGATTGGGAATCCTTCTACGTGTGTGTATTTATTTGAGGCCAGGACGTTCAGACGCGTGGCTCTGGCCCCATATCTTTAAGTCAGGCCTGTCCCTCTACAGGAGGAATATTCAACAATAGTCCAACAAGAATAGTCTGGGGATGATTTGTTGACCATTTTTGAATAGTTTAGGGTATTTCTTTTTTTTGGTATCCCTTTTTTATTTGTCGTTCAAAATCCCCCTGTATGGGGGACAGGCCCGACTTAACCGTCTCTGTTGCCGCCCCAAGGAATCCAATTACAGTTGGGGGGCCATGCCAAGAAACACCCTGCTTGCCTCCAGTGTGCCATGGGTTTCTTGGCTTTCGATGGTTTTGCGATGGAAACCGTGACGTTCCCACACCCAAAATCAATGGACGTCCTGGGGGTCAGTGTTGGGTTTCTTGTGGAAGGTTCCTTGTGAACTGGTCTCCACTCTACAGCTACAAGCTGCAACAGCAGCCTCTGTAATCCGTTTGATTGTCGGCCCTGGGAGTACAATTCAGCCTGGGGCGCAGTGTACCACAGCGCTTCGGCAGTGGAACTTGAGTATGACAAGTTATGACAAGTTATGACAATCTGACGTAATCAGACAGTGCCGCCTCCCTGAAGTGTGGTTCCTGCATGCTACTGCATGCAGCTTTGCTGTGATGGTGGGTGCTCTGGAGGGCAGGGTGCAGCCAGCATCCTCATTTCCATGACGAGTGGGGACTTAGGTGAACAAGTCGGGGGTCCGTGGCATTTTCTCAAGGTAAGTGATCAGAATGTGTATTCCAAGCCGGAATCATCGCTGCCGAACGGAACTCGGCGTGGATGTGGCCATTGCGGCAGCGACCGTCATCCAGCACGGGAGAGGCACGAAGCGGATCAGTTTTTGTTGATGTTAACCGCGCAATTAAACAGTCGAATTGTGCGACGAATTGAGCATCCGTTTGCATTGTGTTGCATCCGTCGTTGTAGGATCATTGAGTCTCACAAGGTTTACATATCACCTGGTAGTTCAGAGTATTGCGAGCGACCTGATCTGGGCAACGCCATTGAGAACAAAAACATCCACCGCATTGAAGACATCAAGGCGGCGCGTGTTTGTTCACAGTTTCTGTTGCCAAAAGCCTTCAAATGGTCCTTGGGCTCGAACGACAAATCGTCGGGACGGAACACTTGGCCTTACAGTCAGTGGACGAATTTGCTAGTGAGAATTTGGACGAGGTTGTTTCGCCTAATTGAGTTAAAGGCCGCGGTTGAGGGGCGGCTCGTTGTCGCTGCCCTCTCATGCAACAACCGTCAAATCCGCGCGGGGGCCGCGAGCGCTCACGAACGGAGGCGGCTGGATCGCTGTACCTGTTGATGATAAAGGGCTGGAGCGCATGCGTTTTGTCGGCATGAGCAGCTGAAGCACCGTCCCTCGTGAAAATTGAAGGCTGGAGCCCACGCTGTGGGCGGCTGGAACGTCGTTCCGGGTAAGCATTGAAGGCTGGAGCACACTTGGAGCCTGCTTTTTTTTTTAGTCTGGGCGATAACGTTCGTGATCGCCCCCGCCCCTCCCCTGGGGCCCCCCCCCCGATCACGTCACGCTGTTCTGCCCACATGTCGCCTCCTTTTCCTCGAGGGGAGACGGGGAGGATGGGGAGAGCTACGCGAGGAGGAGGAGCAGGAGGAGGAGGAGGAGGAGGAGGATGACGAGAACGAGGAGGTGGAGGGGGACGACGACGACGACGACGACGACGACTACGACCCCGATGACAACGATCACGACGACGACGACGACGACGACGACGCTGACGACTCCGACGACGACGATTGCGACGGCGACTCCGACGCTGACGACGACGACGGCGACGACTCCGACGAAACTCCCACGACTCCGATTGGATGACGACGATGCCAAGGACGACGACGACGAACATTCCGACGATGATGACTTCGACGACGATGACGACGACTCCGATGAAACTCGAAGCCCTCGATTGGGGGGACACGTGAAGGATGGGGAGGGGGAGGCCGTTGGGATCCTCCTGATCCTCTTCCTCGGGGGTCCGTCTCCTCTGCTTCCTCTCCCTTTTCCTTATCTTCCTCCCGAGGGCCGGGGGTCTCGAAAAAGGCACCGGGAGGCCGAAACCCGCCGTGATGCGATCGGGGGGGCTAACCTTCCCCCCGCCCACGATCACGCCCGTTATCGCGATAGTGAACAAAAACAGACTCCTGTCTTGTTGGCATGGGCGGCTGGAGCATGTCCCGTGCTCGAAGGGGCCCACGCCGTGGGCGGCTGGAACGATTTCCTTCGTAGAAGTTGATGGCTGGAACGCATTCGCCTTGTCGGCATGAGCGGCTGGAACCCTTCCAGACAGACAGACAGAGGCCCGGTCAAACCACATGGGTTGGCCCGTAAACGGGCGAGGCTATAGCGCAGTGGCCTGAACAAGCACGCGCACAACGGAAACAAATGAAGACATGAAGGGCTGGAACCCTTCCCGTTCTGACAAAATGAAGGGCTGGAGCCCCTCCAATTGGGGCTTTAACCGTGCAAATAGGGAGGGGGGAGTGGGGGGGCACGGGCTTGGGGGCGGGGTTCCTAGCTTTGCATTGACGCCTCTCGAGAGGGGACAGTCTGCACGCGCAGGTACGCGTGCGGTCCGTCGGTCGGTGGGCCAGCCGGTCTGGTCGTCGGCGTGGGTCGATCGGTCGGTCCATCAGTCGTCGTCGTCGGTCGTCATTTTGGTCGGTCGGTCCGTCGTTCGTCGTCGTGTCAGTCCAGTCGTCGGCGTCAGTCGGTCGGTCGAATTGTCGGTCGTCATCGTCTCGGTCGCTCGGTCCGTCGGTCGGTCGTCGTCGTGTCGGTCGGTCGGTCGGTCGGTCCAGTCGTCGGCGTCGGTCGGTCGGTCCATCGGTCCTTCGGTCGTCGTCGTCGTCGTCGTCGTCGGTCGTCGTCTTCTCGGTCGGTCGGTCGGTCGGTCGTCGTCCTCTTTCTCGTCGTCGGTCGTTGGTTGGTCGGTCGGTCAATCCGTCGGCCCGTCGGTCGGTTGTCGTTCGTCCGTCGGTCGGGCGGTCGACGTCGCAGTCATTGATTGTTGGTCGGTCGGTCGGCGCCGTAAGATATGGTTCCCTCATTGCTCCCTCTTGGCTCCCTCCTGGGCTGCTGACCACCATTCGGTCCGAAGATTCCCGGCCGCATTGCGTTTGCGCTGCGTTGCTGAAACCGACGCCATGGCGCGCTCTGATGTCACGCCGCTGGAAGCAACGAGGCCACGGACACAACGAGGTTCAGAACATGATGTTGGACCCGAATCGTTCCCGATAAGATGTGTTCATTCAAATGTCACTGTCAACGGTAGTCCTCTGAATGTCTGAATTTTAATGAAAGGGCTAGGATTTCGGAGAGTCGTCCTGCGTTGCATTTTCGGGAGGTTCGATCCGTCCTGTATGCGGTGGTTTTCGCTTCTGCATCCTACGCGGGTTCGACGCGGGTTTGATGTGGATTCGAGTTGGGCTCGACACGCATTCGACATGGATTCGGCGTTCGACATAGATTCGGCGAGATTGCAAGAAATCGATTCGGCGCAGAGTACATTCCCCAGTTTTTCCGTCTCTTCCTCCGCCTCCTCCTGCTCCTGATTCTTCTCCTCCGCCCCCCTTACACGCTTAGTCTATGCCTCCTCCCCTCCTTCCTCGTCAGATGTCGACGCGGCGGCGCGACGCCTTAGGGTGGCGGGGTTGCCTTCCTTGGGCCCCGTGGGGCCCACCCGCTCGTCTGGATTTGTGTCCGGCAAGGGTCGTCGGACGGGCCTGGAATCGAGATCGATTCGTCCCAGAGCGTTCTGGAACGCTTTCAGAGCGTTTCGGAACGCTCTGAAACGGCCGCGGCGCCCGATACATCTTTCAAACCCGCCGACTCTCGGAGACATTCTCTTCATATCGATCTGGTTGTGTCTCGATTCTGCTTTCGTCTTAGGTCGGGGAGGTCGATTTGTGCAAATAATAGCCGTCGTCCGTCTCGACGACGACGACGACGACCAACACCACCATTCCAGTAAAGGCGCTGAACTGAGGACCACCGTGGGCTCTGGAGGGGCTCGTTCCTTCGATTTAGGTCGTGGAGCCTATTCATTCATGGCCGAGGCTCGCCGTGGCTCGGTAAGCTCATTCATTCCTTATGCAGCCTTCCTTCGTGTAGCACGATGACTGTACGACCGACCTCGACGTCGATCTCAACGACTTCGACGACTACGACGTCGAGCTCGACGTCCGAAGCCTCGTCCACGATGTCGACCTCGACGGCGACCTCGACTGCGACGATCGACGGTGATCGTCGACCACGACGGCGCCTTCGTTGACGACCACCGCGTCCGACGCGCGGGCTGCATGCGCACCGCCGCCTCCTCCGGGGAGGCGGGTTGCGTCTTCCACGCGGAGCCCCTCCCGAGGCCTGGGCATGCCTCTCGCCGTTGCTCCTCGCGAGGGAGGAGACTCGAGGAGGAGGAGGAGGAGGAGGAGGATCGAAGAGGAGGAGGAGGAGGAGGAGGAGGAGGAGGAGGAGGAGAGCCAAGGCGGCTTGCTTGGGGGCTCTGCACGACTCTCGGCCTCAGAGCACGCCTCGGGGCCCAGGACCGTCCGGGATCCAGCCTTACGTCGGGCCTGTCCCTGCACAGGAGGGGTATTCAAGAATAGTCCCAACAAATCGTGTGGAGGCATTTTTTATTATTCTCGATGGTTGAGCATTTTTCTATTATTTTCGAGTCTTCGTCCAAAATCCGCCTGTAGGGGGGCATGCCCGACCTAAATCCAGCCGCGGGGAGCAGTCTGCTGGGAGGAACCCCGGGAGGGGTCCAGGAACCGATTCTGGGGCGGAGTTCGGACGAGCGAGGCCCTTTGAAGGGAAGATGCGCAGATGCCGCTGCCTTTCGCTTGAGCTCGCCTCTCTGTGGGCGTCCTGGAGAGTCTCGTCGTCACGGCTGGATTCGCTTCGAAGCTCTAGTCAGAGCGCGCCCCAGGACGGCTCCGAGGAGTGGCGATGGGGCCAGGCTGGGGGCGCGCGGCACGTCGCCCTCCCCGTTGTCTCGCCTCCTCGTTGTCCTGCTGCTCCGGTTCCTCTTCCTCTCTGCACTGCGACGAGGCCCCCCCCAGTCCGGGTCAGGGGCTGCGGCTCGCAGGCCAGGGGGTGTTCAAATATTGTGAAGGGCCCACGGCCCCAGTGTCCAGATTTTCACGGGACTGGCGACGACGTCGTCGATCGGTGCGTTTATGCCCCCCCAGGCTCGAGGCTCCTGGGCGTTCTTCTCCACGTTGGGCTTCTAGAGTCACGAGTCGTCCGGAGACGGGACCTTTTGGTGTTTTGTAATTTTCTGTTGCCGTTTTCCTGGCCTGGGGATCAAACAACATTATGACGACACATTGACCTGGGCGAAAAGGTCTGATCGTCGGCCTGCCCAGTTGGATATGAAATTGCGCAAAAATCCCGAGGCAAGTCTAGACAGGGGATTGCGTTATCATGCGTAGTTTCTTGGGTCCTTCTACATACCGCTGTTGGAGATGGAGGGACTGGTTCGCAGCGTTGACTGGCATAACGCCGCCCCGCATGGAAGAGTTGGCTCGCTGAACAGGCGCACGCCTGTCGCTATAAGCGAAGGCAGCAAGAAGCCAAGATGGAGCCATCCTGAGTAAAGCATGCCCGATATCGACAAGCAGGTCCACTCCCGGATCGCGAGCGCCGTCGCTTGCAGGATGCAGACATCCAGGTGTCGTTCTGAAAAGATATCCACAACTGTTGCCGGCTTGCAACTGGAGGAGGAGGAGGAATGAGAGTAAGAGTATGAGTAAGAGTCCCAGGACGATGTCCTAAACGAAACCTCAGCAATGGAGCCCTCTCTGGGCTCTTCTGGCCGACTCCCTGGCACTATAGACCTTTGGCCAAAATCCCCTCTGAATTCGCTCAAGATACACGGCTCTCGAGTCGGGGTGGCTCTCTCCGAGCACGCTTTGCCCAACCCCAACAGCTGCATATCACCGAACATTCCACACTTGGAGCAAAACCGAACGTTTAAATCGTGATTTAAACACGTCAACTTCATATTGTGAGACTCATTCACCCACCCCCCTGCGATGTGCAACTCCACCCCCTGGGGAAGAACACTCACCTTAGAGTCAACCACCACGGGCTGGAAGCACGGCGTTGAGCGCCACCGCCGACGCTCGGCGATGGACGCAGAGCTCCTACACCTACGGCACCGCCGCCCAGACTCGTCCAGAACATGACTACTAGTCCGGATGGACACGGCTTCTGGGCACGGGGGGGGCTAGAGCGGATGGGGAGGAGGAGGAGGGGCAGAGGGGGGGAGGATTAAACGCAAGAGTGTTTGCCCCAGAGCGTTCAGGAACGCCCTCAGAGCCTTCCAGAGCGCTCTGAAACGGCCGCGGCCCCTGATACCTCCGCTGGCGCCGCCAGCTCTAAGGGTTTCCCGATCCGTCCTTACCAGAGTTTACGTTCATCCAACCTCCGTCTTCCTCCCCCTCCTTCCTCAAAGCGCTCATTGGGGGCGCTCTCTTGCCCCCCCCCCCCCCCCCCGTGATGGTGGGCGCGGGTTCCCTATGCGGGGGCGAGCGCTTTGGGATCCCCATGGCCTTGAGCGAAATGCGCACCGTCAGGGAAGAGGCATCGCCCTGGACGCACGGCGCTGGTCAATCTGTTCGCCCAGGAGGCCCTTACTGGGCCCCAGGGCCTTCCACAGACGAGACGCGGGATGGAGAGCCAGTCCCTTGGAAGGGGCAGGGGCCGAAGTGGACCTCTGGGGAGCCACGCTGCGAACCGACGCGACGTCGGAGGTCCTAAGGGAGAGGAGGAGGAGGAGGAGGAGGCGGAGGCGGAGGCGGAGGTTGATGCGGAGGCGGAGGCGGCGGCGGAGGCGGAGGCGGCGGCGGCGGCATATGCGGCCGCGGCACATCGCGGCGCGCTGTCGCTCGCTCGGCGCGCAGGCTGGGCCGAGGGAGGACGGCGTCGCTACGCGCTCGCTGTAAGTCGGGCGCGTCCCTCTACAGGAGGAGGAATATTCAAAAACAGACTACAAATAGTCTGGGGACGCTTTTGAAGTATGTTAGGGTATGTTTCGAGTATTTGTCGATTATGCTTTTATTTGTCGTCCAAAATCCGCCTGTAGGAGGACACGTCCGACCTAACGCTCGCTCCCGGGAAGAGGAGCCGCCTCCTCCCCAGACGTCCGACGTCGTGTTCTGGATTCGGGAGGGGCTCGCTGCTCCTCGGGTTCTTCCACTCTTGCTGGAGGGGTCCTCGCGGCAGTAGCGTGGGCGTGTGCTCATCTGCCGCTCTCTTCGCTCGCCCCCTCCTGTGCAGAGCAGCGTTGGCAGAAGGCTCGCCCTCCGGAGGTGGCGGAGAATACTGCTGCAGCCCCTCATGGGCATCAATTTTCTCATGCTCCTCTGCTTCGGCTTCTGCAGCGTGCAGGCGGCCGGGATGAACCGGGCCGGGTGGGAGCATTCTGAGGCCGCCACGAAGGACATGGGGGCACTGAGGGGAGCGGGCCCTGCATGTTTCTGCCGTCTTTGGTTTCTCTGGGCCCTCCCCGGGCCCCAGGACTGTGCAAATGTATGGCAGGATCTTCCTTTTCCTTTTCCTACGAAAGCATCCCCCCCAACAAAAAACACCCAGCAAACAAAAACTACACTACCGAGGACCCCCACATACCTATTTTATGGCATGTGCGCGCCAAGCCATAATTAAGCAACTGCGACCTTCGATTGGGTACCCTGGCGCTCCGAGCTGGCTTGAGCCAAAGTGATTACAGATCTAGATGCTGCGCAAACCCCTGCTAGTGCAACTGATGGAATGCAACGGCGAGACCTGCCCCCATGCGCACCCCCTGTGGTGTCGAGACAGTGCCACGCCTGCCACGCCCCACGACCCTGGGACGGATAGAGACCGCGGTGAGAGGCCACCCCCTGCGCACACCCTCTGGTGTCGAGAAAATGCCACGCCTGCCACGCCCCGCGACCCTGGAACGGATAGAGACCGCGGTGAGGGACCACCCCTTGCGCACCCCTTCTGGTGTCGAGAAAGTGCCACGCCTGCCACGCCCCGCGACCCGGGGACGGATAGAGACCGCGGTGAGGGGCCACCCCCTGCGCACCCCCTCTGGTGTCGAGAAAAGGCGACGCCTGCCACGCCCCGCGACCCTGGGACACCGCGGTGAGGGGCCACCCCCTGCGCACCCCCTCTGGTGTGGAGAAGGTGCCACGCCTGCCACGCCCCGCAACCCTGGGACGGATAGAAACCGCGGGGAGGGACCAACCCCCTGCGCACCCCCGCTGGTGTCGAGAAAGTGCCACGCTTGCCACGCCTTGCGAATCTTGCGCGCATGTGTTCTGTGGTAAGTATGCGCGTCATGTGTATGATGCGTGTGCGGCTGCATCTGGGCGTGTGTCTCATGCGGGTGAGCAGTATGCTCCTGTACATGACGCGCGTGCGGATGTATCTAGACGCGTGTCTCATGAGCGTGCAGTCAGAGCCCCACGTGCCGTACATGCGTTGCGCTCGGGCGAGGCGAGGGAGAGGAGAGGAAGAGGAGGGGGGGAAGAGGGAGGTGTGCGGGAGGAGGCGCGGGCGCGACACGGGTGGGAAGAAAACCAAAACCCCCCACAAAACATGTGGGGAATCATATTCAAAAACGGCCGGTCTTGGGGAAGGCTCGAGGATCCAGGACCCGTGCCCCTCAGGACCCGCTCGGCTCAGGCCAGGAGACAAAAACCCAGGCACCCAAGTTCTGGACACCAGTTCGAGGCAGGAGTGGACTCGGCTTCACCCCCACACACGAATATCAAGTGGGACCTGTCCCTCTACAGGAGGGAGATTCTCAAATAGCAAAAAAGAGCCAGGGGACTATGTCTCTACCATGTTTTGACTATTCTTGAGCACTTGTTGCACTTGTTGGGCATTTGTTTATTTTTCGCCCAAAGCCCCCTTGTGGGGGGACAGTCGGGTATAGCCAGGACCCCACTGTTAGTGGTAGGTGGTAGGGCCCCTGAGCCCCCACATTGGCCAGAATCACTAAACCAGGTCTGCCGTAGCTGATGTTTTTTTGGGTGGCGGCAGTTCTGGTTAGTGGAACGGTGCGGGGGGGGGGGGGCGTCCCCCAGTACACATCACTAAACCATGTCCCACTAAACCCACTTCTGCCAACGCCCGAGACGGGCCCGACCTAATTCTAATAATATGTGCGCGTCGCCCCCACAGTGGCGACGCGCGCCCCGAGAAATCTTATAGTAGATGCGTCGTGGCGTGCGCTTTCTGGCCACTCCGCTCGGGAACCGATATGCTACAAGATGGGTATACTGTATGTTCGGGTCGGACGCGCACCTTCATGGAACTATTATGTCTTTGTGCGTCCCATGGACGTGTTCGTATGTTTCTGTCGATGTCGTCGGCTTTCTCAGGTTTTCCAGCCTCGGGATGCCTTCTCGCAGCTGCGCCTCGCCGAAAGTGCTCCTGAGCTGCCCAGATCGTCCCGAACGACCGCCGGGGACTCGAGTCATACGAACCGAGTGCCAGACGTCCAACGTTTTGAGAATGATCAAGGCGGATGTTCTTTGCCGTTTCAGGCTTCCTAGGACCCTCACCAGCCCCGTGGGAAACGAGCCAGGACCTACAGGAACCCCGTGGTTCAAAAAAGACGTTGCGTGTCCAGATGGGAAGGCGGATGAGATATTTGTGACAGTGATGGACATAAGCGTTGATTGGCTGGACTTCGGCCGTGCTTTGTGCTTCGTGCTGGCAGGAAGGTACAGGAAAACAGGTAGAGCGAAACGACAAACAAAACGAAAACAGCACGAAACACAACGTCCAGGTCCAGCCCCGAGGTGTGTGTAAGTGTGTAAGTGTGTAAGTGTGTAAGTGTGTAAGTGTGTAAGTGTGTAAGTGTGTAAGTGTGTGTGTGTGTGTGTAAGTGTGTGTGTAAGTGTGTGTGTAAGTGTGTGTGTGTATAAGTGTGTGTGTGTAAGTGTGTGTGTAAGTGTGTGTGTAAGTGTGTGTGTGTGTTTGTGTGTGTGTAAGTGTGTGTGTGTGTGTGTGTGTGTAAGTGTGTGTGTGTGTAAGTGTGTGTGTGTGTGTGTAAGTGTGTGTGTAAGTGTGTGTGTGTGTGTAAGTGTGTGTGTGTGTAAGTGTGTGTGTGTGTGTGTGAGAGGTGTTGCTGTGCTGGAGCTCCTGGAGGGCCTTCGTCGCGATGGCCGGACGTGCCCCGAAGCCCCTTGTCGGGGCGCGCCTCGGGAGAGGCCACGGGGCCGCCTGCCCTGCCCTCCACTCCGCTTCCCTCCCTGCCTCCGTCCGCTCCCCCTTGCTTCCGTGCCCCCCCCCCCGTCCCTCCCCTCCCGTTCCCTCTCGTCCATCCTCCCCCGCCCCGCCTCTCCCGTCCCCGCCCCCGTCCGTGCCCGCTCGCTCCTTCCCCCGTCCCTCCTCTCTGGTCCCCCGCCCCTCCTCTCCTGTCCCTCGCTCCTTGCCCCGTCCCTCCTCTCCTGGCCAGTCTCCTGTCGCTTCTCCCCCCCCCCCGTCCCTCCTCACGCATCGACGAGCAAACCACGGAGGGCTGTGGGGAGTGTTCCGCCCCTGGGGAGTTTTGGAAGGCGGGGGGGGGTGGAAGAAGGGTGCTGAGGGGTGGGGGGGGGAAGCAGGAAGGAGAGGGAAAGACTGCGAGCCGCAGGTTCGCTATGTGTGTCGACGCGATGGCGGTCCAGCGCGGCCATTCAAGGTTGAGAGCTGGTGGTCCAGAGTCGGCCGATGTCGAACGATCTGCGTTATCGGAAAGCCGCGAGTGTTCAGGGTTGGGCGATCGGCGAGGTGTCCGACACCATCGCCGAAGTCGTCACAGCGCGAACTCCCCAGAATGAGGGACGGAGCAGGGGAGGATGATCAGGAGGGAAAAAACACAGACACAATTAACCGTCGATTCCCCAGAGAATACAGGAAAAGATGGGCAGTGGGGGGGAAGACAGGAACCCAGAAAATATTGAAAAAATTGGGGAATCCTGTTATTTGTGTGTATTTATTTGTGTGTCCCAGGGCCCCTTCAAAGGTGACGATTGGGGAAGAGGGAGGAGCGCCTCACCATGCATTCACGACGTGTGGGTATGGGCCTCCGGAACCCCAGACAGCCTGATAGTTTCCTCTTTCTGTTGTGCAAGATATCATTGCGGACGGTTTTTTATGATTTCCGGCCACCGGGTGGCCTCGCTGAGCCCCAGGACCGTTAAAGACCAGTTCTGAGTCAAAACAAGGTTTTCCAGGAGAAAACCGTTCGTTAAAATGCCAGCACCATCAACAAGCCCCAGGCTTCGCCGTCTCGGTCTTCCATCTGATGGAAGGGGGCGGCAGTTCGTGTGCCATGTCGAAATCGATTTGTCCTCTCTCGGGTGTGAACCCCCCCTTGCCGATGTCCCTGGAGTCCCACGCAGAGACCAGACCTCCAGGGACGTCCGGAGGCCCTCCCACGGACCTCGAGGATTGGGAGGAGCTCCTCCTCCCCGTCCTCGCGATGGCCGAAGGTGGACGACCACCGCAAAGAGGGCGACATAAAGCCTGGAGGGCTGGGGAGGAGCTGCTCGCTGTTGCTGGCCCTTTCTCTCCGTCACTCTGCCTGCCTGCCTGCCTGTCTGTCTCGCTGTCTGTCTGTCTCGCTCTCTCTCTCTCTCGCACTCTCTCTCCGCATGCCCTGTTCGGTTTTGCACGAGTGGCCAACATGTTATATCTAATGAGCCAAGCAGAGACAACACTATGAGTGTGCTTCATCACTTGCTCAGTCATGATATGATGTGTACTGATCTTGTGCCACAAACTCACCGCTTGTTAAAAGTACATGTGTGTTGGATATCTTGGTCCCAAGCTCCTCTAAGCGCCGTCCTACTTCAACAAACGATGGCTTCCTACTGCAACCGCATGCCACCCGAGGCATCAGACGTTATGATTGCTTCGCAGCGTGGCTCCCCAGAGGTCTGGACCCCCTCCCACGGACAGTGTGTTCAGCATGAGCCCCCCCCCCTGCAATACAGTCCATACACATGGCAGCAAGCGTGGCCCCTACCAGTGTGTTCTAGCGTGCTATGTGGTGCAATATAGGTGGTTCCATCTATACGGTGCAACCTATAAAGCTATGTGTGTCTACATATATGCATACATACATGCATACATGCATGAATGCATGCATGCATGCATGCATGCATACATACATACATACATACATACATACACATACATACATACATACATACATACATACATACATGCATACGTACATACATGCATACATACATACATACATGCATACACACGTACATAAATACATGTATACACAAATACATAAATACACACATGCATACATACATACACACATACACGCATGCAGTCATACCGACATACATACACACATGCACGCACACATGTATACACACATACATACATACATACATACATCCATCCATACATACATACATACATACATACATACATACATACATACATACATACATACATACAAACATACAAACATACAAACATACACGCATACACGCATACACATACATACATACATACATACATACATACATACATACATACATACATACATACACACATACACACATACACACGTACACACATGCATGCATACATGCATGCATACATGCATGCATGCATACATGCATACATGCATACATGCATACATGCATACATGCATACATGCATGCATGCATGCATGCATGCATGCATGCATACATACATACATACATACATACACAAGTGGCCTCCAGCCAGTGCCGCCGACCCGGGGCGCTCCCGATGGTGCTCGGGTTAGCTTGGAGGCCTGCGGGGCCCTCCTTGGGGCCGTCGAAGGACAAGGCGTCTTGAGGGTGTTCTTGAGCCTCTTGGGGGCTTCTTGGCTGCATTAGGGCGTTCCTGGCGGACTCCGTTGGAAGCCGCCTTGGGCGCCTCGCTGTGCCATCTGGAAGCAATCTGGGGGCGCTTCAGGGCCGTCTTGGAGGCTATCTTGGCCGTCTTGGGAGCCTACGGCGCCGTCTTGGGGCCGTCTTAGGAGCACATTGGGCCGTCATAGGACCATCTTGGAGGCCTCTGGGGCGATCTTGGGGGCCTTTGGGGCCGTCGGAAGTCCGAGAAGAAGGACGACGTCCTTTAAAAGCATGTAGAACATCAATGAGTCGGGCCTGTTTGTGCCTTTCTTGGAGGGCATCCTGGGCCATCTTGGGTGCATCTTGAGCCGTCTGGGACACATATGGCGGCCATCTGGGGCTTTCTGGCCCCCGGGATGGAAATTTGGCGGATTTGTACGTGTCCCAGCCCCGCCCAGAAAATTGAGCACAGGCGCGCCCCACCCTAACCCCCTCTTCCCGGGCAGATAGAAAGAGGAGGGGGGTGAGGATAACTGGTGGAAGCAAGAGGAGGATGAGGAGGTGGAGGCGAGCAGGAGGAGGAGGAGTAGGAAGAGGAGGATGAGCAGGAGGAGGAGGAGGAGGAAGAGGAGGAGGAGGAGTGAGTCATCAAAATGCCTTCCTCGGGGAGGGAGGAGGGAGTAGAGAGGAGGGCGCAGGAGGGAGGACGGAGGGCGAGGAGGAGGAAGAGGAGGAGGAGGAGGGGGTCGGGCGAGGAGGGGGAAGGGATTTGAAAGAGGGGGCGGAGGAGAAGGAGGAGGGGGTGCTCAGAGATCCCCGGGGTGCTTAGAGATCCTCAGGGAGCTCTACCCTCCTTCTCTTTCCCCAATGCCCGGATACCACTAATCATACCACACGCAGGTTGGTTTGGTTGTTGTTTGGTATGTGATACCACCAAACCAAACTATGCAGAGGTTACTATGTGTTTTTGTATTCAATGGATCCGTGCATTCTGGCCGGGACAAAATGGCGGGCCTCCTGGAAACCGAACAAAACAACACCGTGTATAGTATGGTTTGGTGGTATCCCAGACCCCAAATACAATATACTTTTGTATGTTCTGGTTTGGTGGGCATGCGTATCCCACAAGCGGTCCTGGTCAACATGGGCTGATTTCCTGGCCACACATACGCACAAACAACCTGTGTATGGTAGGGTTTGGCGTTTTCTCTGGGAGAATCAAAACCCACGAGCACATGTGCATAGCAGCCTTTGGTGGTATTTTGGCATCGCCATGTCAGAAGGAGGAGGACCATGAGGAAATGAGTAATCTAATGAGGCGGAATCGTGTTTGGAGAAGGAGGAGGGGGAAAGGAGACGGAGGAGGAGGAGGAGGAGAGCACGATCAGTGAATGTTGTGCTGGTTTTGGTGGTTCGGGGTGCTGGGGGGTGCGACCATAACGTATGTGTGTGTGGTGCAATGTGTGTGGTGCAATGTGTGCGTGTGTGGTGCAAGCTATGGGATGCAAACTATGCGTAGCAATAGTTGCGGGGTAATGTATGTGGCGTAAGTTACGTGGTGCAATGTATGTTGCGCAGTCTAAGTGACACGCACTGCAGCGCAATGCAGAGCAATTGAAAAGAATGCGAAGCCATGCGTAGCAATACAAAGCAATACAAGCACACGTTAAGCAACGCAACGCAACGCACCGAAACCGATGCAGCTCAACGCAATACAACGCAAACCAGTACACAGTATCGCAACTGACTGCAAGCCACTGCAGAGCAATGCCAAGCAGCGCAAAGCAACGAAACGAACAACATGCAACTCTATGTGACGCAGCTCAGGGCAGCGCAAAGCAATGCGACGTAACGCAAAGCAATGCAAGCAAGTGCAGAGCAATGCAGCGCAGTGCCAGGCAATTCAGTGCGAAGAGCGCAGAGCAATGCAAGACAACCACAGCGGCGCGCGGGCCTAGTCGTTGGGCGGCAACGCGGCTGCGACGGCGGCGACATGGCGGCCCGGCCAGAGCGCCAGACATGCCCAGACGACGGGCGGCGACGAGGCGGCTATCTAGCCGCCGTCGCCGCCCCGTCGCCCTAGTCTGTAGTTCACAAGTGACAGCCCCTAGGTGCAGGCAGTGTGAAGATCCATACATATATATATATATATATATATATATACGTGTACACGGATAGTTACATAGATACAGACATATGCATCAGTCATATATGTATATATATAAACACTTGAGGGAGAATACGTGAGTGTATATTATATATACGACTGCATGGTTCATTCAGAACTTCCTAGCGGTGGTTACTTTAGGAAGGGTCCAAAGGCACCTAAACAACTGATCGTCCTCACTCCGCAGCGGCTGAAGCTTTGGAGCCCGCCCCAGCCAAGAAACCGTTTTTTGAAAGCTTGCGAACGGTGCGGGTAGAACGCTCCAAGCCCCGAAAGTGGGAGCGCGGGGAGGGGTGTGACAAGGAGGGCGATAAAGAGGGAAATTATTCGCTCGCCCTGGTGCCTGCATCGGTCCACGCCGTGTGCCTCACTGCCGCCCTCCCATTCTTCGCTCAGTTCTGGGCTCGGCTCGCAGAGTGGCAGCTGGGAGGCATCATAGTGGTATCCCCGCATCTGACAGACATTGACATGCGAAAGGCTGGCGCCAGCCGATCCGACTTACAGTTCACTGGCCCGGAGCGTGACTTGGAAGTGATGTTGGACATTAAGTGGGTGGCTGGGTGTTTGCAATGCTCTCGAGATTGTTGTTCTTTGCTGGTTGCTTGTTTCGGTCATCGAAGCAGTGGGGGTACGTTGTATTCAGATATGAGCTGATGGTGCCCTAGGGCGCATCGCTTCAGCTGATTGCACGCCCTGCCCTTGGCCGGGTCGGAAAGCCTCTGCGGATTGTCATGCTCTTTCACGTTTTCGGCAGCGTCTCCGCGTTGGGGGACGTGAACATATTGAAGGCGCATGTCTTCCAGACGCCCGCCAGTTTTGCGCAGCAGCAGAACGCGATGCGTGATGTGGGTCGTCGCGATGCCAGTGTAGTAATAGTCAGTCGCTGCGTCAGCGCAGCACTCGAATGCATACAGGATTGGTCTACCGATCTCTCACGGATGGGCTCGTTGGAACCATTTTGGTGATGTGTTGGGAAGAATGTGTGCGGTGTTTAGCGCGGTCTAAGCCGTGGGTGGGCCGTGTCGCATCGTTGCATGATGTCGCGTTATTTCTTGGGGCGTCTTTGGGGACTTTTGGGTCATTCTCTGGCGCCGCTTGGAGGCTCCTGGAGTCCAGGCCTCCCAGATGGGGTCCGAGTCGATTGGGACGGAGGATCGCTCCACATCGGCGATGCGGATCGATGTGGAGTCCGATGTTCGCAATGCCAATCACGCCGATACATCGCCGACGACGCTGACGACGCCGATGCATCGGGCATGCATTGGTGATACGGTGCGATCCTCCCCCCCCCACACCACATGATGATTGATATTTTTGACGTGAATTTGTCGCAACGTGGCTCCCTCGAAGTGTTGGCCCCTTCCCTGGAACCCGTTTTTCATCCCGAGCCGTGTTCTTACGGTTTGCGCGCCCAGTGAGGGCCCCCAGATACTGAAAATTGTTCAACGTTGTCAGTCGCGATTTGTTCATGGCGCGAGTGAGTTTAGGTCTTCAGGGGGGAAACACGAGGGGGCAGGGTGAGAAGGAAGACCAGTGTCAACCCAAGAAAAGTCACCGATGTTGCGATAGACCGTCCCTCCAAGTGCCCTCTTCATTAATTGAACATGATATACAGCCCCTAACCCTAATCACACAATTAGTGCGTGGCATAGCTTAGGTCCACGGTTTTTAGGGAGATCCCTAAACATATGGGTAGTTCCGTCTGACACACTTGCAAGAAACACATTATCCTTAATGTGCTTAGCCCTCCTAACTGATGTCCCTCCCAAAGGATCAGGGGTACTTTTCTTGCTCATCGTTCATAGACCCCTACAGTAAATAATGCTCATTGCAGATGTGCCCCATTGGAAGACAACAGTTTGGGAACCCTCAATCGTGCCAAACCCTATTCGTTGTTGCTAGCGCCGTGGATCAACGTGACTGTTGCGTCTTGACAGCCCAAATCGTGCCAGGGCAGCATGCCTGGGGCTTCAACACAGCGAATCAACGTGACCGTTGCGCCCAGACAGCTCCTAATGGCGCCAGAACAGCATTCCTAGGATTTCAACCCAATGTTTTGGTCTTAAGCGAAGGTCAACTCCGAAGACGAAAGTCCGCGTGCACGGTGCGCGCGCGAGCTGGCGCAAGATTTTGCGACGGATGTGCGCGGCGCGGGCGAAACCGACAGCCCCACTGTCAGAGAACGGCCAGCCCTCCACCCTGGCAGTTTGCTGCAAGCTTTGAGTGCCGTAGGGGCTCGACCGCAAGAAACCTTCCGCAGGAAACCCGACCCCTGAGACCCCAGGACTTCCACTGATTTCGAGCGCGGGGACGTCACACCGTCCATAGCAAAACCATCGAAACCCAGGAAACCCAGGGCACCCTGGAGGCAAGCAGGGTGTTTCTTGGCATGGATCCCTATGAGTGGGAGCAGCGCGGGGGCGAAAGCCCCATTTTTTGAAGACCACCAGGCCCTCCATCCCTTGCAGCTGTTGCAGTCCCGTGTCTCAGGATGATGTTGCTGCAAGCTTGGAATACACGAGTGTGAGCAGCGCGGGGGCGAAAGCCCCATTGTTTCCCAATCAGTGCTTGCACTGAAGGGGTCCTCGCGGAAGTTGAGCGATCTGGCGAAAGTTCCCCGCCGATTTTGGTGGCAGGCTGGGTTCCCGGGTTCCCGGTGCCGGGTTCCCATGTTCCCGGTTCCGGGTTCCGGGCCGATTTCGGAGGGCGGCGAGATTCCCAGGCTCCTGGCCGATTTTCTTATCGATCGGTCTCACCATCGATCTCATTACCGATTTCTCGATCGATCTCACCATCGATCTCACAATCGATCTCATGATCAATCTCACAAGTGATCTCACTAGAGATCGCATGAGCGATCTCGCGATCGATCTCACTATCGATCTCACTGAATCGATTTCATTCTCGGGTCACGATCGACCTTACAATCGTCCTCATTATCGATTACACTATCGATCTCACAATCGATCTCAAGATCCATAGTATCAATTTTCAATTCATCCACTGATGGGGGTTTTCTCAGGTGTAATGCTTTTCGTCCTCTTCTTCCGTCTTCCTGATTCTCCTTCTCCTCCTCCTGACTTCCCTCTTCTTCCTACTCCTCATCCTTCTCTTCATCCTCCTTCTTTTCCTCCTCCTCCTCCTCCTCCTCTTCCTCTTGTTCCCTCCCCTTCCTCCTCCTCCTCCTACCCCGCCTCCTCTTCCGTCTCCTCCTCATCCTCATCCCTCTCTCAGGCAGGATAAGCCACAGCGAAAGGAGACAACCGACGACCGGGCCCTCCATCCCTCGTCTCTTTTGCAGCCCCGCGTCTCCAGAGGATGAGTTACGGGGACGCCTCGGGCGAGACGCCCCGTGCCCGGCCGGCGGACACGCTGGGTGGTCAGACGCGCGGGAGCCACACCTCGAAGGGGTCTGCGCCAGTCCACCGACGCCCTGGAGTCAGGAGGAAAAGGAGACCCATGCCCCTAGCTTTCCCTCGTTTTCGCCTTTTTGGGCCTCCTGGGAGACCCTGGTCGCCACCGTTGGGTTCGCCTTGAAATTGTTGTCACCGGGGAGTAGTGGTATCGGGATTTTTTGGCCTCCCCATAGAAGAGGGAAGTCAGGTTCGGGCGAATGGGTTCTTTGCAAAGGGGATCTCGAACATTTACGCAAGAGTTCGTGTGCAATCGTTCGCGCGGGATGCGCACGTCGTACAATGCCAGCACGTAGCTGCCACGCGCCAAGCGTCACAGTTCATGAACTGTTGCATCTTGTTTTGGGGATCCCATTACGAAAGACCCCCTCTGCTTTGCCCAGAACCAAGGAAGAAGTCCGCGGGTGAGGCCTTCGGGGGCCTCTTGGGGAGCCTCTGGGGGCATATTTTGGGCTTCGAGGCCTCTTCGGGCCCGTGGGGTGTTAGGAAAAGGGATGGAGCAGGAGGAGGAGGAGGAGGAACGAGGCGATTCTGTGCACTTGTCAATACGAGCTTGCTTTTTTATACAATACGGTTCAAAGCGAAGTTAGCAAATTGCGTACCGGAGCGCTCAGCCAAAGAGACAATCTGAACGAGCTGCGGCCGATGCTCGGTGACAGATCGTCCGATCGCCGTCGGCGCGAGGGGTGGCATGAGACGTCGGACTGCTCATCGGCCACGCGCTGTGAGAAGGACGAGCGAGGGTGTCCGCACTTCGGTGGGGGTTCCGCCGCGTCGTAGTCGGTAGCGGCTCCGAGGTGGGAATCTATGCATAAGCACCGCCTGGGGGGTCGATCTTCGCGGACCTCCAAAGGCGGTGGATGTGGATATATTCGAGCCCCAGGGGGCCAGCATATATCCATATCCACCGCCCGACGGGGCACCAGGACGTCGGTTACCAGGCGGTGGATATGGACGAATCCCCGCCCTGCGGCGGTCGCTTCGGTCCGGTCGCTTTTGCTGCGCCGCTGCCGCGCTGGCCTGCGCCCTTCCCTGCTGGTCTGCGGCCTGCCGGCCTCGGCCGGCTTGGGGACCTCGCTGGCGGCTCGGTCGGCCTCCGCGGGTGCCGCCGCCGTGGACGGCCTCGGCGGTCGGGCGTGGCCCTTCCCACGGGCCAATTCCGAGGGGGGAATGTATGCATGACCACCGCCTGGAGGATCCATTTTCGGGGACCTCGGCAGGCGGTGGATATTGACATGTTCGGGCCCCCGGGGGCCAACACATAACCATATCCACCGCCTGCTGGGGCACCAGGACGTCGGTTCCCTGGCGGTGGATATGGATAACTCCCCGCCTCGCACCAACTGGCCTGTTCACTGTAGGCTCGCGTCGTTTCGACCGACGGCGAACCCGCAGCCGGCGTTCATCGTTGAACACCGCCGGCGATCCAGGACCATTCGATATTGAACGATTTGACGTGTCGGGAACGGCAGGTCGTTCAAGGTTGAACGGTCCCCGCGGTGTCAGAAATCAGCACCGAAGTTAGCACGGCACGAACCTGCTTTACCATTCCGCAACGTGGCGCCCGGAGATGTGGACCTCTTCCCGAGCACCGGCTTGCCATCCCGAGCCGTATTCTGACGGTTCCGCGGCCCAGTGAGGACCTTGGCGGCCTTAGGAACTCCAGAAGAGCCAACTTTCCGTCTTGAGGTTTCTTCAAGACGCGAGGTTGTTTGAGGTGTCCCGCGGGCGGAGGAGAAAGAGGATGAGGTGGAGGAACAGGGGGATGATCCCGTGGGAGGTACCTGCAGGGAGGGATCTCCCTGGAAACACCTGGCTCGCCTTGCCATGCGGAGTCGATCGCTTGGGAGGACATGTGCGTCACGTGCCCGACGTTTGCCTGAATCCGACTAACGTATCTAGCGCGGGAGACTTCAGATCTGTAGTTCGCGCCTAGTGATATCCGTGTTCATTTGCCACGGCCCAGAGGTGCTTCAGCGGCGCACTGGTCTGTCGTGCTTCCGCCGCCCACGGCGCCGCAAAAGCGGCCAGGAGCGGAAAGGCCATTTTTGTCCCGCTTTCTCCTCCGGCCTGGGTCAGGGGCTACGGCTCGCAGGCCTGGAGTGGGACTGTCACTGGAGGCACTCAGCGGCAGCCTGTGCCAAAGGAGGTGACGGCGGAGGAGGAGAGGGGATGATCCCGCAATTTGCGCCGCGAAGAAGGCGCCCTTTGTCAATTGCATCGGCCTCGCCTTCCAGAACGTGTTCACAGATCTCAGGAGCAAGGAGCGGCGGGGAGGAGGGAGGGGGGAGGGGGGAGGAGGACAGAGACCGTCTTCCGCAGTTCGAGATTTGGAGGCGTTTTCGTGGATTCTTGGAGGTATTC